TAACAAAATTTCATCGGAAAAACTAGAAACAGCGTTAACTGTTGAATGTTTAGGCCGAAATTCGAATTGCTTTTCATTGAGTAGGTTATGGTTAAGGTATTGATGAAATCGATAATGCAGAGCCCTCTCTAGGATTTTACTGAGAGTTGGTAAAATAGAAATAGGGCGATAATTATACGGGCTAGTACGGTTCCCGGCTTTGAAAAGTGCTGTGACTTTAGCGCATCTCTAGATGTTAGGAAACTTGTTGGTTACAACTGAAATATTTAACAATTTCGTAATTGATAGAGTTATAGTTCGTGAAGCACATTTCAGTAAACGGGCACTGATTCTGTCTAACCCGATGGCCTCAAATCTGTTGTAAAACAAAGGAATGGCTTAACGGTTCTTAACTCAAAAGAAACCGCCGCTGGTTCAGCAACATTGAGTTTCGCAAGATTTACATAATTAAGAGATTGAGAGAATTTTTCTGCCATCAATCTTCCAACAGAAACAAAGTAATCATTCAGGGCTGTACCAACAGATTTGGGGTCGCTATATTGTACTCCACTTGCAATTATACACTGCGGGATAGATGAGCTAACGTTGCTTGAGGAAGCCTCATTTACTGATTTCCAAACCATGCCGGAATCGCCTTTACTTCGTTCAATTAGGTTGCAATAGTAATTTGACTTCAAGGACTTAATTTCGCGATTCACAAATATTCGCAGCTTTCTATACATTCCCCAGGGGTATGTAGAGTTTGATTTCTGTGCTTTTCGAAGATGATAATTGCGATCGCGCATCGATTCAGCGATTTTATTATTCATACAAGGAGCTGTCGTGACCTTTACTCGGCGCTTTTTAAGCGGTGCATGAGAATCCGCAACTTCGGTGAAGAATCTGTTCCAAGTCAAGACTGCGTCATTGACATTGCTCTCATCGTCAACAATGTGCCACAGAACATTTTTAAAGTCCTGGATGAGGGTATTTTCATCAAATCATTTGAATGACTGATATTCTATTGTCCTCGGTGTGGCCTTTGGCACACCAGCTTTTAGCACACAATAAATTAGTAAATGATCGCTTTTTGATAGGGACACAACGCTGCTATCAACAATTCGGTGCTGATTATAAACCAGGATCACATCATAGTTAGTAGAGGGGACCCAGTCCCCTCTACTAACTATGATCACATCAATTAACGATTTGGACTGTTCCACGATGCGAGTTGGTTCGGTGATAATTTGAGACAGGTCCAAAGAACGCGTAAATTTATGCAGAATCTGCATATCATGCTTGCATCCATAAGCGGGCTTCAGCAAGAGGTGAACATTCATGTCCCCCAGAATAATTAGATCACATCTATCAAAGTTCAAAGTAGGCATACAGTTTTCGAGACTGGAAATAAACTTGGTGAAATCAGCATAAGGTGCACGATATAAACAACAAATGAGAGTCGGTTTACATTTGGCGCTATTGAGTTCGATCCAAAGTAAAGCTTTTGATCTTGAGCTAGTAAAGCTTTTGATCTTGTCCCTCATCACATTGTATGTAATAAGCTCAGGTCATATGATATTAATCCTTATGTTATTAACTGGATAACTAATTTTTTGATTGACCGTAAACAGAGAGTCGTAGTTGTTGCTGTGACAACAAAGTTCCCTGCAATTGGCAGGGGTGTTCCACAGGGGAACAGTGTTATTCTCCATAATGGTTAATGACATAAATGCTGTGAATCTGGAAACAAATCTGCTTATTAAGTTTGCAGATGACATCACCATCATCCTAAATCGCTAGTGACGTCATGTGCAAGGGGTCTATTCCGATTGGGCCAAATTTACCTGACGACTCTTCAGTCAGTGAAATTAAAAACATTAAGCTTTGGTCAAGTATGATTCGTATGAAACTAAATTTGACTAAGACAAGGGAGTTAGTAACGAGCCGGAAAGACCCAAAAAACCCCTCCTGGAACTGTGCACATGATTGAGAGAAAGAGTGAACTTAAATTAATAGGAGTAACCTTTCATGAAAATCCATGCAACTGAGATCGTCATTTCGACAATATGATGGATAAGGCTAATTCAAGACTCTATATCCTTAGGATTTGTAAGTACTATGGGTAAAGTTTATAAGAACTTACGATCTTATTTCGTAACTTAATTATGTCTGTATTTACCTACGCAATTGAGGTATGAGCATGTGCTTATGGTTGTAAATACCTCTCTAAGATCGATAAATTCTGTAAGCGAGCTTGGAAATATGGTTACACCAAGGATCGCATATCCATCAACAATGTAATCTTCGCTAGGGATAAACAACTGTTGGAGAAAGTCACACATGCATGCAGACGCGCATTGTTTGGCGGATCTCCTTCCGAGTAAAAGTGCACGTCCTTTACGTCAGCGTGGTCTTGATTATACGTTACCGTGTGTTCGCACAGAGCTTTTTAAGCGCTGTTTTATAAATAGGTCTCTCTTTAACTTTATTTAGTTTAATGCTTGTAGGGATGCATTGTAAACTTGCACGTATATTTGCAAGTGTTTAGTTTGATCTATAATATAATAAAGACTTTCATCATCATCATCATCATCATCACCAAAGACATTCATTCGCACCAGTATCTATGTCGTTCCGTACACGAAACGGAAGACTATCTCTCACGTAGATAGCAACACCTCCACCTGTTTTTGACCCTATATCCCGACGAACTAGTGTAAATCCTGGAAGGCAAATTTCTGAATCCTGAATGTTAGAATCAAGCGGTTCGACATGTTGAATTAAATCGTTGAGTTCTACAGTATCGTTGACATGTTCCCTCCCCGTTATTCGGACCCCTCGACATTACAATCATCCAATATGATGACCAACAGTCGCACCTTTTAGAGCGTGCCTTCGTGTTTAATATACCAAAAAATGGTCCGAAATGAAACTCTTGACGCGCGACTTTGTCTTTAAAGTTGGTTGGAGGTGAATGCTTCTTGATAATCACTTCCAAACTAGCCAATCAGCGCGCACGATAAGCGTTGTTCATCTATATGGTTATACTGAAAGGCTATACGGTTCTTCTTCTATAGGTCAAAGGCATCATGGCTCTAAATTGTTCGGCTGAAAGTGTCACTGCTGCTATGGAACAGATCACCAGTGTGAATCTAGTGGTTGCAAGGAAGAGCTACGCTTAAGATATCAACGAATGTCAAGATCCAGAAACCACTGACCCTTACATTACAGTTTAGGAATAGAATGGCCAAACATGGGTTAACTTAGAAGGCGATAGCAACGAAAATGGTGGAAAATATCTGTTAACAAGAAGAACAATAGCTATGCACGTGCATAGCCGGAAAAACTTACTCAACAAAATGATATCCTGCCAAATTTTGGGTAGTTTGACAATGGGAACCCAATGGCAAATAATTCATGTTTATAGTGGCAGTTAAACGCTATCTTTCCACAGTATGATGAAATAAGGACTGGGGACAATGGAGAAGGTATATACATGGGCTGTCCGCGAACTCCGAAGGTACGGTTCAGTTTTTTATCAACATTTTCCTCTTTGTAGTCACTACTGAATGAAGTACACTCCAGAAAGCTCAAAATTTCTTTTAACATCCCTATTTAAAAATTCACTTTAAAATCAACAAGTAAACCGAGAGCTTTTCAAAATTATCTCCAAACTTACTTAACGTTAGCCTAGTAAATTTCAGTTGAAAATATTTTCAATAACTTTGCAGGACATCTTGCAACACCCACTCGATGTCCAGGAATTGGTTTACAATAAGCTGGCACTCTGGCTACCAAGGACATCTTTTTGTGTAGCTCCTTTAATATTCAAGTAAATCGGAGAAGAGAACGTTGTGCGGTATCACAAAAGGCCACGTTGCTGAGTGAAATGAAAAATGGCGGTCGTCAAGATCGAATTTATCAGCAATTTTGAAAAAAAAATTTTGAAAGGCTTTCCTGAAATTTGTAGCATGAGTAAAGACATTTTAAAACTCGGCTTGGACTTTTTCTTCGAAATAAGCAACTACATCCGAATGTTTCTGCTACATGTCCTTAACTGACGCCCAGTGCATCATACCAAACAACCACACAAGCTAGGGAGGTTTTGTACTTGTGGAAACCTAAGTAACCTTTAGCAATTACCAATGACTGATTGATGTTGCTGCTCTTCAAAATTTTCATGACAATTTTGGCCAATTAGCCAAGGGAATAAGGGAGCTGTTGATTTTTTGCAAAAAACATTGAAATGATTATTGAAACAAGCTGAACAGTCAAAATGCACTCGGTGTCTGAATATTGAGTTTCCAGTCAATCCCACACTTTTTTCTACAGAATTTCAGTAACGTAGCGAACAAAATAGGAATCAGGCGTCATACTTTGGCGTATTTAAACGAGCAGACGCCAGCGCAGGGAAAATCGCGCGCGCAAGAGGGCGGAAGGAGAGAGGAGTATAAAAAAATGACGCTGGAAGGGGAGGGGGGTTCGAGGTTTTAAAAAATGGCGCTGAGGAATATTTATAGCAATTCATACTCAGAATCTTACGGAGACTGCTAAGTTGAGAGTGGTCAGTGAGAAAGAAATGGCTTTTGCTCATTTCGCAAAACATATCGCCTCCTCACCTCTCTTTAATCTGAACTTGGGGGTTGTTCTTAGATACGTGTCACTATCTATCGCCTGTGGGTGGAAGATTTTGGGGATCACTTGGTGTGCAGGGGGGAACGGATGGGGAATCAATGGTCGCTAACAGAGTATAACGGAGGCTATAGAATATTTATTTCCATTTACCTGCCAATGAGGGAGGGGGTATCATGAGTATAATATTACAGAGCGTTATGGCGGGAATAAGGTATATTTTATCGTCATGCAAGCAAAATCCTCCATGCCCTCCTCCCCCTCCCCCTCGTCTCCACCCAGGCGATAAATAAAGACCTGAGTCCCTAAAAAAAAACTTCGGGTAGGTTGGGACTTAAAATGCAATAGGTTCCTCCAATTTTTTTTTTTATCAAATTTATTTCGTGATAAAGAAAATTACAAAGGTTGATGAGTACAAAACCTAGCACTTTTACGTATAAATTCTATTTTCTTTACATCTTCGCATGTGAGCTTTTGTTACGGGCGTTACTTCGGGTATTAACAACCCCTAATTACGATGGTTATGTTAGCCTATGCCAAGCTCTCGATTGCAAACGTTTCTTATCTCTATGGTAACCACAGCCACCAATGTCCACTCGTCTTCACAGACCACAAAGTGCCTGGAAAAGGCTATAGCGTGTAAGCCAAAAGCAAAAAATTCTAGCAATGTCAGCGACTCTTTGTTTCTCCAATTACTGCATTAAGACTCTTTGTTGGTCAACCTCGTTCTCAGGGTCACTCATCTTCTCACCCTTTCGGAGCGGAAAGATGAGACCCTGGAAACGAGGTTGTTTGGCAGTGTGTTTTAATTTTGGAATTGTGCCAGGGATTTGTAACCTACGTTAAGTTTGATGTTTTTATTCTGCCGCAAAGATCGTAGGTAGTTAAAAGCAGCTTTTTCCTCGTCAGTAGTTATACCCAGTGCTGAGTACAGATTCTTGAGGCCTTCCGATCTCGCTTCCTCTACCACTCGTAGCGCTTTCGCTTTTGCCTCAGCGTCAATAACCACGGCTTTAGCGCTCGCATTCTGGGTAATTTCTCGGGCTTCGTTGTAGATCTCGTTTTTAATCCTTTCGGTTTCCTTTCGAACAACCTTTATGGAAAAATGGAATAGCTAGTTGTTCAGCCTTCACGTAGATAACAACTCCAATTATAGATTAGCTAACATACAACAGTGAACGAGGTCGCCTAGCGGTTAGCGATCATCTATAAGGGAGCTGGAGATGTGGGGCAGACAGTTAGGAGAATTAAACGTTAAGGTATAGGAGGTAATATAGCCAATCAGTATCTCTTCCGCTGACGCAATGTCAATAACACTTTAGTTTCCACAAAAACGAAAAAGCTGTATGGTTTACCTTTTCCCGCAATTCAAATTGAGCCCGTTCTTCTTCAGCCGCCTCTGTGACTTGACGTAGATACCGACTTTTCACATCGTCATGCACATCGACCGCCAATAGCTGGAAGTATCTGACTTCCACGAACATTCCTCTTTCGTCATTCTTACACAAGGAATTTTCAATGCAGTAGCCACAAGCGGGCATCTTCTCTTCTTCGGTCGGACAGGTTTCCCTGCAGCAGCCATCTACACGCTTGGCAAGAGCTTTGAACAGTTCTTTTTCGATATTTTCTCGGTTCCTTGTTGGGTACAGATAGGAAAAAATGAATGAATAAATGATCCCCTGTTTGCTCAACAAAGAAAAAGAAAAAAGGGTCGCAGAAACCTTGGATCTTCGACACTACACCCTCCAGCTAAACTGTGTATTTGTCGCGGAAACAGCGGGTGCCTGGATCCGTAACCACAAGTTTGCTGAGACTAAATTTTGCCGATACGAAAAAAAGAACACACCCGAACACATCGAAAGAAGAGCATAAAGCTACTTTTGCAAAACCGAGCTTGACTTCTAATGGAACACCACACGATTGGGTGCCGTGTAACTGAAATTTAGTTATTACCACTTGGCCGTGGAAGGTCTGGGTAACAGACTTATTCCTAAATAGTACGTTCAGCCACAATTTTGAGGCATGTCAATTATTTTAGTTATTTTTATAAGTAAAAAGTACTGGACATCGAAGGTTTCACATGTACCCTTGATCCCCTCCCCTTCATGGTTATTAGAGAGATTTAGCACCGCGTTTACTTGAAACGGCAAACGTCAGCTAGCCCTTTTACATTTAAAGAAAAACACCGTGAACATTTGGCTTCGCGTGAGCTCATGTCAAGTTAGATTTGAAGGCACCTCAGTGTGACTTACAGGGAATAGTTTTGCGCCCTTTTTCTGGCAATTAACTTCTATTCTGAAGGAGAAAGCGGAGAAAATCTTACGTACACGGCAAAAGAGAAACAGGTTACTTTCACGTAGAAACGGCAAAGTGCAGCTGGCAAACGTGAAAATTGGCGGGGAACACAAGGTCACGTGGTCATTTCTACCGTTCACTTTTCACGTTAACGCGGTGCTAAAAATCTCTATTCCCTTAAGGCCATCTTCCCCCATAGGCAATATTTACAAACCTGATGTAGTCGTCGATTGGTAAATCTGCAGCGCGCCCTTTTATGGCGTCAATAGCCGTTCCCCTGACAACAGGCTTGTAGTCGACATTGTAGGCTTCGTGTAAATCTGCCAGAAAGTCCTTTCTTAGAAAATACTGAAAATTGCAACTGATTTTGATCTCGATTTTATCCCCAGTCCACACAGAGATCTCGTTAAGCGCGACAAAATTAGCATCAGCTGGGAAAACCTTGAAGGTGTAGTCAGGACCCACAAAGTACCGACCTGAGGTGTACACCTCGCTGATGTCTACATAACCAGTGGACTTACGTCTTTTGAAGCCGACCTGTGTGCGTAAAGATGGAAAAGAAAACAATGCTTTTTAAAGAGTTGAAACCGTTTTTTAATTGTGTCATAAAACTCCAACCAAATAAATCACAACTATGATATACATGAAAAAATATTCAGTTTTCACGGGCTAAAAAGAGTCCAGTCTTCATGTAACACGGGTACAAGTTACAAATATGACTCTGGAATGAGTGTCTCGTAAAAGTTCGAGTTGGACGAATGTTGCAATCAGTTTCAAATAATCAGTTGAACGAACTTCGTGCAAATCAAGGGGAGCGCATTCAACTTTTACTCGCTTATCTGCTTCTGCCTTCCTCTTTTTCATGCATACTTTAATGAGTATAGCCCCGAATTTCTGTCTCAATTTAAAAAATAATCAAAGACTCCAGTTCTTACCTCAATGATTTCACCTGATTGTTTCATTATTTATCATAATTATTATCATTATTAAATTCATAATCTTCTTTACACTTTTACTTGTTATTGATATATTACAATGCAAGAACGTTGCTAAGTTACATTTTGTGGTATCATATCATCGGGAGTTGCATTGACCATTTGACTCTGAAATTATCTATTAAATGCAGATGTTGCCTTCCTTGCAGAAAAACTGACTTTTACGTCGGCACCAAGCTTAGTCACCGTCCCCTCCTCAATTCTATTTTGCACCATGTCAAAGAACGCGGATCAAGAGTTAATAGGGACCTTAAGAAACCGCAACGGCGACGGCAACGAATACGTAGAAAAACAAGAGATCAAATTGGCAGAACAATAGCTCAGCGCGTGCGTTTTGAAACTTTGTACATTTCTTAGGCGTCCTATGCAAAACAACAACGTGAAATCGCCAAAATTTGCGTCGTCTGCGAACCGAAACCGCGATGGCAAATTATTTTAATTTCCATTTGGAACTCAACGGGTACTTTATACGTCATGCTGAAGTTGAGCTGTGGCGCTGTATGAGACAGTAAGTTCCCGCAGCCATTTTTGAAATCCTAACTAAGAGTAGAAATTCATTTTTTAATCGAAATCTTCCTTGGCGTCGCCGTCGCGGTTTCTTAAAGTCCCTAATATTCTTTGCACGGAGCNGAATTAACTATTTCAAATGTTATCGCAAGTTCCTTAAAAGGAAACGTAAAATAATATGTGTAGTCCATATTAAGTAGCTTAGTTTACTCGAGACCTGCATTTTTTGACACGTCCCTGTGATTTATTGCTTACCTGTTACCCCTTTTACATCAAGGAAGGTTAAGAAACCTAGCAATTACATTAAGTTCATGTTTACTGTCTATACTGATATTGTTAATCATTTCACTTTCGTCGATTTGTATGGAATTTATTAGGTGTGACAGAATGTGCATTGATGTGACGACTTTTGACCGCATCGCATACTGATCAGTGGAAACGTTTATATCAGTTATTCCGCTTCGCTCTTCTTACTTATTTGATTTCAGATCGAGTAAAAATCATACGATTGCGAGTATTCGGTAAGGGATCGTCTTGATTTTCTCGCGAAACACCATCCGTTGTGAAGTTTAACGTAACCATGGAGTTTCTAAAGAAATAATACTCACCTGCTCTTTGTGTTGCTGTTAACATGTCGTTTCAATCACGGGCTCTGTTGACAGTCTATGGATTTACGGTCAAGCGTAAATCTTTCTCAATGTTATCACTCTACATTTGCATAAAGTCTCTAACAGAGGATGTTAATCTTGAACAAAGAGTTTTTTCCCGTTGTTACATACATATTAATTAGGTTTTAAAGATTGGGCACTGCAGGTCGAACAGGGCGGAAGATTTGTGCTGACTCAAGTTCAAAGTGTGCGGAGCTGTTTGGCCTGAACAACCATGGATTGTGATTGTAGCAAGTCTGCGATAACTGTTGCAATAGTGGTCACTGCTGCAATCATCTTTACTGGCGCAATGGTAGGGACCTCGTTACGAAAGCTTAACACGGAAGAAGGTTTGTAAATGTTGAAGAACTTGCTACTCAATCCACAGAAATTTTTAAGGATATAGAAATTGCTGATCAAACTGAGAGGCTAAATTAATGTCGTAAACTTTTTAAAAATGAATGAATGAATGTCGTAAACTTTTTAAAATCTCGAGATTTGTTTTAACTAAGCGGATGAGTTTAAAACAAATGGACTGTAAACTATCAAGAAGGAAGGAACAGATTCGCTGACACTGCTCTGATATGTAACAACCAGCATAAAGATAAGCCTCTTTTCGCTAATGGAAACAGCTCGCTAAAATTTCTGTTAGAATTAAACGTATTTTTATTCGTGACCTTGCCCAAGGTAAACAAATTATTGTTAACCAAGAGAATAGCAGTTATGCGCGATGACGTCACAAAACATTTTCGTAGCGTCAAACCGAAGTTTGGTGGTGATCGCTTCGCGTGCTTTGTTGGTGTTTAGAGAAATAATCAAGTCCCCTCGTCTGTTTTTTTTCACTTTTTGTTCGAAATGCCTCAATGGTGTATTGCCTACGGCTGTACAAACTCTTTAGATATGAAAATCAAAAAGTCCTGGCATCGCTTACCGCTGGAGAACAAAGAACTGCTTTCCAAATGGCTTCCAAAAATTCGACGAACAAACACGCCACCTAATGAGCACTCGAAGCTAAGTGGCGACCACTTTGAAGCCGACTGTTTTAGAAAAACACCGGGTTCCTTGCGCGTCAACTTGAAACCGGGGTCTATTCCCACAAAATTTTGCTTTGTGCAAGAAAAAACACCTAGGAAGCTTCTAGGAGAGCGAAAATCGGTAGAACGAAAGCAGCCGACTTCGTGCGTAAACACACCGTTGGACGATTTGGCAGAAACATGTCATGGCATTGAAAATGACGTCATCACGCATACCTGAATTTTCCCCTTCCAACATGATAGCATACTTTGTTTCACCATAGTTAGTAGTATGGTTTCACGTAAAGTAGGTGATGCACAAACTGCAGGTGACTTTAAACGTGTGAACAATCACTCTTACCCTTTGGTTAAACGACGATCAAAGGGAACGACAACAATGTTTGCTTGAACGCCGTCTGTTTGCCGGAAATGCGCAAAGACCGAGATATAACTCCAATTCTTTAATTCTCCTTCGCAACACTTCCTCTCCAGACTCCTCGATCTCGAGTCTCCTGTTGCTATTTTCAATGCCATGACATGTTTCTGCCAAATCGTCCGACGGTGTGTTTACACTCGAAGTCGGTTGCTTTCGTTCGACCGGCATTTCGACTGGCATTTTGGAGAAAAAGTGAAAAAAAAAAGACGAGGGAAATTGATTATTTCTTTAAACACCAACAAAACACGCGAAGCGATCACTACCAAGCCTCAGTTTGACGCTACGAGAATTTTTTGACGTCATCGTGCATGACTGCTATCGAAAATTGATTTTAGTAGTTCTGCTGATAAGAGAAGAGTTCTCG